CGATCGCTCGTCAAGATGAGCCAGTTCTATTATTTTCCATACATGCGAAGATATCTCAAACGACGTATTGGATCTTGCTTGCATTGCTTGATGGCGAAAAACCAGACGGGGAACCAGCCCGGCGAGTTGCACCCAGTTCCACCTGGCCCTCAACCATTTGCGGTGATTCATTTGAACCATCGGGGCCCATTTGTCACAAGTTCGAGGAGCAACAAGTATATGCTTGTAATTATCGACAACTTGACCCAGTATTTGCTACTCGAGGCTGTGCGCAATACTAACGCAGGGAACGTAGTGCTGCGGCACTTGGAGAATTTTGTGTTGGAGTTCGGAGCGCCTGAGCGATTGATCATAGATCGCGAAACGTGCTTCACATTGGCGAAATTTAGTGAATTCTGCAAGAAACACGGGATTACGCACGTTCTGAACTCGCCGAGGCCCGCACAGGCGAACAGCCAGGTGAAACCAGTTAATGGGACCATGATACCGACGATAATGACGAAACTTCACGGGAGCAAAGGCGGCAGAGATTGGGATCGCCGACTGCTAGCGGTTGCGCGAGACCTGAACAATTCGATCAGCAAAACGACGGGCAAAACGCCATTTGAGTTGCTATACGGTTACTCACCCAGAACGAACGGGGGACCGATGCGAAGATTGACTGTGGAAGAGGCACATCGACGTCACGAACCACTGGAGAAATTGCGCGAGAACACTATCGAGAAAATCAAGGAAGGTCAGTTAAAGTACAAGGAGTACTACGTCCGCGAAAGAAGAATAGACGTGCAAAACAAGAGCGGGGATATTGTTTTCATGAAAACAATTACTCAAGCGACGGGAGAATCGACGAAGCTGCAACAGCGAAACCGCGGACCTTTGGTAATTACCAAGGTTTTTGCCGAATGACACCTACCGAGTTGCGATCCTGTGCGCAGATTCCACGGATAAAAGATATTCCTCGACTGCGCATGTTAGTCAGCTGCGATTGTGAAGACTGGCGGAGGACGAAGAAGATGATACGAACGGAGAAGAGATCGACGAGGCGTCGAGGCGCACGAAAAAGTGATCGAGGAAACACAGCCGGAAGATACGACGAATAATGTTCACTGTACTTCACAGTTTCAAATAATTTCACTATGAACCCAAAATCAGACAATTCCGGGGATGAAAAGCCTCCATATTTTATGCAAACTTTTATAATACGGCCGAACACGGGGAGTTCTTCAATTCTTACTAAAATGAAATCGTTATCTTTGAACGCCGTATTTGCAATCGCGAATCTGTTTAAGGCTTTATATCGATCGAAATTGCTAGGCAAGGAATGAGTTGTTCCATAATATTTTATCGCCGCTTCTTCGGTAGTCTCGAAAATAATTTGATTATGAAGAAATTGATCCTCTATCAATGCGTTGCCGAATACAACTGGTGTTGTAGAGCCAGTGTTTTAGGAATATTCATACGACTGAACGAGATAGCAGAAGTCTTCTTTGACGGTCGGTGCTTTGCTTCAAATCTCATTGACCAGACATGGACGCAGGGGACCAATTTTTCTCGTAATTTCGGGATAATGAATCATAATGTGATGTTTTGGTTTCGGGGTTTGACCATATAGTTTAATAAAAAAACCGATGGTGTTCTTCGATTAAGATTTCCAACGAGCTTTGAGTTCTGTGCGTTACGTATGGCTGCAAGCAGATCTAGAGAATTTTCCTCAACGATTTATAGAGTTACCGGTGTTCATCGTTTTTAGTTTGAATAAGGTCACCGAAAATAATACCAGCGTCTAGAAAAAAACGACTTCATTTCGGATGCAGTCACTTTCATCCGCGATTTGGTTAAATCGTCCTTATTGATTAGCGACGGTGTGTTGCTTACGACGGAACGCCCAAAACACTTGATTCAATAATAGAGTGTGTCTAGTGTGAAGTATCTCTTCTGACGATCGTATGATTTAAAAGCTAGACCATTTCTATTTTACACGCAACTTCTAACCAGTCCTGCATGAAGTCTACGGAGTAATTTTCAACGGCATGAAAGCCAGTCACACAGTTCCATACACAAATTTTTCTAACCCTGGTTTCGGATAGACAACCATTTTCAGAAGAGAGTTTTGTAAACTGACCTTTTGCTATTTTGCAGAATCGATAGAAACACTTTGCCGAAAAGCTCTCGGTAAGTCCGAGAGTTGAGTTCAAACCCAAATTATCCTTGATGATTAAAGCCAGTTTAAAATAGGCAATTATTGTTTTATCTTTCCATTTTAACTCGATACCATTAGATTCCAGATCGTTGGAATCCTCTATTAATCGTCTATAAATAATATTGTCATCGTAATTCTTTATATCAGCCGCATGGCAAAGGAGTACGAGAAAAATATTCACTAATTTAGAGTGATATTCCGGCGGCAAACGCCCAATCGTCATATATACGCCACATAATTTGTGTATCCCTGCCCTGGATCCAAGAGGATAGCCAGTTTCGAAATCATCTTGATAAAGATAGATAGATAGATAAATAGATAGTCATATTTATTTCGTGCCCTTGGACTGCGTCCACTGAGAGCACGCAAATTACAGTCGCCGTTACACAAAACCAATACAAAAATAATCAAACTATACAAAGCAAAACAAGAGAAAAACTTAAAAATGCCGGCAGGCTTCTCAATTAATACCACACCGTAAGGAAAACTGGAAGCATACTCTTCACTCACACACACAATTAATAAACTATAAGCATCCAAACCAATAAAGCAGAAAGTAAAGCGAAAAATATAGCAGACACACTCATACGCACGCTATTCACACTCTCTCACTCATGAACAAACTTACGTTTCCACGATTCGTGACAATAAGCTCGCCCGAAAAACTTTTTTGAACGTCGGAATGGACTCCTGTAGGCACATACTCTCGGGCAATGAGTTCCAGAGTGAGCACGTAACCACCGCAAACGATTTCCTATATCGTTCAGTTCAAAAAGGTGGAATGTCATAGTCCAACGCCGTACGCTGTTGCCGCGTAATATGCTGCCCCACTAAAGTGGGCTACGAGATGCGATCGAGCAAGTATAACGGCCCCTCATTACTACGCATGCAAAAATGAACGATCCGAGTAAGTATTCCCTCTGCTCCGCAACCTTAAGCCAGCCCAACCGCCTGCCCATGTAGGGTAATCGGAACGGCCCGACGCTTGGGCCAACCTCGCTGCCGATAGTGCCAACATTGGCATCCAAGCTTGGTCCAATCATCGAGCAAATCTTGGATGATAACCACATGCCACTGTTGGCAGTCAACATTGGCCCCAAGATGGCTAATTTTGAATAGGCTGATAATCGGCACTCGATGTAAGCCCATTATTGGGTGCTTGCATAGGCCAAGAATTGGTCGCAATAGTCAGCCGCCGTAAATGCCCAACGACGGCAGGCCCCATCATCTGTTCTCGATATAAGGCCACTGTTGGGTGCGTGCCTAGGCCCAGAAGGAATTTTGATATTCAGCCAATGTAATACACCGATGATGGCCCAACACTCGATCTTTATAGTGGTCCAATGTAGTCTTTTCAATATTTGCCCACCGCTCGATTTATTGTTAAATGAAGACTACAATTATTCAATGGTACATGAAATAAATATCATGAAAAAATATTTCAAATCTTACAGTACAATTCTATTCAGTACAATTTGTTAGTATAGTAATATTTTAATATAGTAAAATGAATGAATCTACTGTAAGTCGCTCGCCTGTCACTTACAATTTTATATTTTTTTTAAGTTATGTAAAGTTTATAAAGTTATAAGTAAAGTTTTTTTTAAAGCTTATGCTGAGCTCTCGAAAACGCAGCAACGTTCCTTACGTCCACCTTCTCGGTCTCCAAAATGCGACAGCCAAATACCAATCTTCGATTTCAGTGCTTTGGATTCATCAGATTCGCCGAACTTTGTTCTTATTGCCTCTGTACGAGAAAAACGAAACAAAATGAAACATGAGTCGAATATAAATTATACGATATAGAAAAAGTCTTGTTTTTGTAATAAGCCCACCTTGAAAAAACGTGAAAGTCGCTGTAGCGCTGAAATCGAATTTCCCGACTCCTTTAACCGTTTTTCCTTGACCAGAATATGTTTCCTGAACTTCCTTCCGGAAAATCCTTGGCAGCGCATTATCAATGCATTTCTGAGCCGTTGTGTGTTCGAAGCAAAGAAAGTTGAACAGAGCGATCTAAAAATATTTGAAATATTATATAGTTTAAGAGAAATGACGTTATATTATTAGTAGAGAAAAGTTACCAATGCGTCTTTCTTCTCTTGCTCTTCGCTTACAGCTTTATTGAATTCCAAAAAATTGTTCAAGCTTGCAATCGGCAAGGGCGTGTTAACAGATTGAACCAATGTATCAACAGTTTCGTGGGGAACTCGAGGAACGTTAGACGCCACGATAGCCAGTTTCCAATTTCTTCCAATTTATGCTCTTATGCTCTACCCCCTGCAACGTATGAGCCTTTAAAAAGTAAACCGACTTTTTTTTCTATTTCAATTAATATCCCATGATCCTTTAGTTTTGAGACCATAGCATACCAGTACTTTGAGACCTGGAATTGAATGCTCTTTTGATTTCCATAACAAAAAATACACCATCCCATTTGAAAAACCAAAGTTGACCCTCAAATGACCTTGTTACTTTGATTTAGGAAAAAATTGAAAGACGCCATCTTGTGTCCTCCTCGAAGCCATGAAACTAATGTATCGAATATGTTTTTGTATCTCGCTTCGTTTGGGAGAAAATTGCCTGGGTCACTATAAACGCCTCATCCTGTATATATAAAATGTTCGTGTTCATGTATAGTTCATTTCAGATGCTTTTGTGGAAATGATGCTTGAAAGTTTTGCGTCTCTCGAAAGCTCTATTAACCAAAGATTGAAATCTGTCAAAGACAGCATTCTTTATAACATTGAGCATAAATTGGAAGAACTCAAACTGGCTATCGTGGCGTCTAACGTTCCTCGAGTTCCCCACGAAACTGTTGATACATTGGTTCAATCTGTTAACACGCCCTTGCCGATTGCAAGCTTCGACTCAAGTCCTCGCTACTCATACTTTGATGATCATCGCCTTTAGATCTCTGATTTCGACCCTCCCTGAATCGTTGTGAATTTCCAGCGCCTGGTTAAAGTAAGAAATATCGATTAAATACATATAGGACCCGTCACGTCTGTTATCAAGTCTTTTTGT